TCTGAGTTGAGTCTCAGCTAACTGGACTTTCAAAGCAACCAAGGGTCAGGATAAATGGGGCCGAGTCCAGTTGGAGGCCTGTGGCCAGTGGAGTCCCCCAGGGATCAGTACTGGGCCCGGTGCTGTTCAACCTGTTCATCAATGGATGAGGGCACGGAGTGCACCCTGAGCAAGTCTGCAGATGACACCAAGCTGGGTGGAGTGGCCGACACTCCGGAGGGCTGTGCTGCCATCCAGAGGGACCTGGACAGGCTGGAGAGTTGGGCAGAGAGGAACCTCATGAGGTTCAATAAGGACAAGTGCAGGGTCCTGCACCTGGGCAGGAATAACCCCAGATACCAGGACAGATTAGGGGCTGATCTGCTGCAAAGCAGCTCCACGGAGAGGGACCTGGGAGTCCTGGTTGACATCAAGTTAACCATGAGGCAGCAGTGCCCTCATGGGCAAGGAGGCCAATGGGATCCTGGCTGCATCAGGAGGACGTTGGCAGCAGGTCAAGGGAGGGGATCCTGCCCCTCTGCTCAGCTCTGGGGAGGCCAAACCTGGAGCACTGGGGGCAGTTCTGGGCTCCCCAGTATAAGAGGGACGTGGAGCTTCTAGAGAGGGTCCAGTGGAAGGCAACAAAGACGCTTAAGGGATGGGAGTAAGTCTTGTATGAGAAAAGACTGAGTTGGGCCTGTTCAGCCTGGAGCAGAGACGGTTGAGAGGAGATCTGATCTACAGGTACAAGTACATGAGGGGAGAATGCAGGGAGGAGGGGGCTAAACTCTTCTCAGTGGTGACCAGTGACAGGACAAGGGGTAACGGGTATAAATTAAAACCCAGGCAGTTCCCTCTCCATGTGGGGAAGAGCTTCTTTGGTGTGAGGGTGCCCGAGCCCTGGCCCAGGCTGCCCAGGGCGGCTGGGGAGGCTCCTGCTCTGCAGATCTCCCCAACCCAGCTGGATGCGCCCGGGTGCCCCGAGCTCTGGGTGTCCCTGTGGAGCAGGGGTTGGACTGGTTGATCTCTAGGGGTCCCTTCCAACCTCAGCCATTCTGTGGTTCTGTAAACAAGAGATTAATTCAATACCGTCACATCACCAAGCACTACTAGAATAAGACAGCAGAATCCAGAAAGAAGTTATCCTTCCTTGGAGATAGAAAGCAGGAAAAAGTCTTCAGAGCTATGCAGAGAAATGAGGATTGACTGTATGTATTCACTTCAATTTATTTTTGTCATCTCTGCAACAGCTTTTTCCTACCTTTTCTCTGTAATCAACTTATTAGTGCCATATGAAATTTGTTAATGCATTATAATTACCGTGCCTGCCTTCCCATCTAGAATCAATGAAGTTTGCATTATTATACAATTTGTTTATTACTGCAGTGACTAATGCCTGCTCCATTTATTTTTCTCTAATATTGACATTATTCTCTAATACTGACATTATTTCTCTCTAGTATTTTTTCTAATATTTGTGTGTGTCTTGTTTTTGGGGTTTGTTTGTTTGTTTTTCTCTCCTCCTTTGAATCCTGCTCAGTCTATAGCTGTTACTGATGACTGTGGCCATCGGGACGATGTGCTGCAGTTTTGCTGACTGGATCAAACCTGAAGTTAGCCAGAACGCCCCAAGATTATCTGGTACAAGGCAGCTTTTACCTTCAAAGTGGAGAAGGATCAAAGCAATCATCACCAGGGAAAAATTAACCAGTCCACAACACAAGACAAATTCTCCAAGCTCTGCAGGCCTACGTGACAAAGTACATTGGATCACTAAACACATGCTAAATACAATGTTTGGACCTTCTGTTAATGCTGTTGTGGGACTTCTGATTCTGGAAATTTCATTTATTCCTTGTCTTTTCTGTCTTATGCTCTTCATGTAGTAGCAAATTCCTCCAAAATGATTTTTTTTAAGAGCACAACTAAATAGAGATATAACAAATCCCCACTATTTAGCTCAGATACTGCAATTATTCTTGCGATTATAGGATCTGCAATAAAACAAAAGCTCTGGAAATGTACACACAGAAACCCTGAAGACCCTGGACCCTGAGATAAGGCTCAAGCTTTGAGCATACACCTGTAAATAAAGGATAGCTCAAGCCCACAGATTCCCAAACAGTTCACACCTTCATCACAGCGTTTTTACACTTACAGAAATGTAAGTTTCCCTGGGACAGCAATGAAAAGATGCTAAATTCGCTATTCAAGGAAGGAAAAAGAAAGGTCAGTTTGTACTCTCCACTGCACAGAATTCATTTTGCAAAACAAATTGTTCTTCCACACACTGTGCGATTGCAACATTTCCCTCCAGGCCCATATAAAGAAAAAATATATAAGATAGATCGTCTGCAAGCTGAAAACTAGCACAGCAAAGATCACCTTAAAGAGAAAGCAATATTACACGCACACTAAGAACCTAAATCCACCCATTTCAATCCAGCTGCAGGTTTGACCCACACTTAATGTCATAAAACACATGGATTTTTGGGCCATTTCTTCTCTAGACCAAAGCTCCCCCTTTTCCCAAGCCTTGAAACTCAGCTCATCTGCAAAACAAGAACATTAGAGTCTCCAGCATGGAAAGAAAGCCTGAAATCATATTTTTATTTCTTATTTCCCCAAACAAGAACTTGTTTTAAGAGCTCTTCAGTTTCTACCAAGTTATGACAGTTAAAAGCACTTTCATTTCACTGTAATCTTAGCTACTGGGGAAACAAAAAAAGAAAAAAGTGGGAGGAAAAAAAAGTAAATGTGCAAAAGACATTGACAGAATATGTTTATTTTGTAAAAGATTCCATATTGTAGCAGTAAGATCAGCAGAGCTTCTTCCCTCTTGAAATGCTCATTTACCATTAGATTCTAAAATTTGCTGAATCTGATTTAACTTGAATTTGATGAATGTAATCTCATTTTTACGAGTCCACCATAAAATCATAATCCAGACACAGCCCGGAGCGGATTTAGTTACAAGCACATTCATGTCTGCTGGCACTAGGCAGTATCAGTGACGGGAAATTTTAATAAATAAGTCCTAGACAAAAGGACAGCAGCTTGCAGCAAGGAGAGAAAAGCAGGCGAGGCAGAGCAAGACTATCACAGAATCGCAGGCAGGCAGTAATAAACAGTCAAACGGAAATAAAACCAGTGAAACTGCAGTAAAACAGGAGCTGCCAACCCATATTCTGGAAGAATTAAAATATATCTGAGTTAGTTTGAGAGAGGGAACTAAAGGAGAGAAGGACGAAAGCAAAAGCCCAAGGCATCAGTTTGAGAAACAGAAATAATGAGATCTTAAAACACAACAACTACTACTTTGGAACTGAATCTTTATATGGAGAAAAAGAGAAATAATAATTAAAAAAAAACCCTTCTTTTAAATAGTATTTCACTTGCAGCTAGGAACTCTCTTGCTGCTGTGAAATTCTGGCAGCAGACAGAGGTCCCAGCTTAAGGCCAAAGACACACATGCATTTCTTTTGGGTTTTCAAAAGTTTTCAAAGATGATGGGCCCTCTTTACTTTGCTAACACTGCCCAAAGGTCTACACGTGTGAACTGACCTGACAGTAGCACCCTGGATATGCCCATTAAAAAGAAAATAAAAGTCTCAGGAGCTTCTAAATGAGTAAGTTGTAATTCTTTTTTAAACCTAGAGGTATTTTTTTTTTTTTAAATTATTAAACCAGACAATGTTACAGACATTGATGCAAATAATATTGAGAGATCTAAGACCTCTCTCTCGCTAACACAAGAAACTGCAAAGAACTCTCCTGAACGGGACAACTTAGCTCCTTGGCCCAGCAGCAACACAACCCGAGGCCACCCTCTCAGTACAACCTGCCTTTTAGCACCAAGCAGAAAACAAAGCCCAGCTGCCTTCACCTTAGGCTGCGCTTTAACACCTTTTCTCACAGGATTTTAGCAGTAATTTAGGTAGCACTGCAGGTGGTGACATTCTCATGGGATTCCCAAAAACCTGCGCTTGGCAGAGGGCTGTGGAAGGAAGGCGACAGCAGCATTAAAACCTGCTGTTGCAGACATGCACCACGTCACCTGCCCAAAGGGCAGCTCCTCTGCCTGCTGGGCACGAGCTCCTTCCACAAGCTGCAAATGCAGAGTTGGGACAAAAACCTATCAAAGGGAACGGCCAGAAGCCAGATGCTGTGAAAAACCTTTCCCTCCCTCCCTTGGCCTCATCTGCTCTCCATTTCACCCCCAGAACAGCACAGAGAACAAATACTTTGCAGCACAGCCTGCAAATTAAAAGGATGGGGCTGAATGGCTGCAATTTCACAGCTACAGACTGTTTCAAGTGAAGTGGGGACACTGCTGCACACACCGGCCCGAGCGGGCGCCCCAGTGCTGCCAAGGCAGCAGCTGCCCTTGCAGCGCCCCACAACTCAGCTCCAACCTCGACAGCTGTAAAAACCACCCAGAACTGCGTCTTTGAACGGCGCTTGGTTTAAACTGCTCTGCTCCAAAACATAGACAGCGGCACTTTGCAAGGGAAGATACTTTTCATTAGGGTTTATTTGCAATCACTGGATAAACACACACACCTGGGTTGATACCAAACCCAGAATGCAGATAATCTCGGAGCTGCTTGCAGGCAGAACTGCTGCTGGTCAAGAGTCACTGTCCATCCAAACCCCCTCGCAGAAAGAAACTGCCCCTCTGTAGGCAACTGCAGTCAGTTCTGCCTGCACAGAGCAGTAAAGGAAGCTCAGGTCAAAATGCCTAAATTGCTTTATTTTGCACTCGCTGTGGTTTAAGCCTGCTCCCCCTTATCTTGCTCTCTATGCCACAGGAAGCTGCTAAACTGTCATAACTTGATCACAGCTCTGAGCCCTAGAGCTCTCCAGTAAGTCACTTCGTGCTGCTTAACTCCAGCCAACTCTATGAAGTCAGAAAATAAAACAGTGAAAAACCTGCTACGTTCTTCCATCGCTAATCACTAGGTTAAAATGGGCAGAATTTGGCGTGCTTCAAGGTGGGCAAAGCAAGAGTCTCGTCTTACCTGCTTGGGGCTCCACGGTCTTGTTGGAATCTGTGTCCATAAACACAAACCGTCCGCCGCCAAAGTCTTCGGCGTAGTCAGAGAGATAAAGCAAGGACGTATAGTCAAAGGAGCCATACGTTACCTAGAAGCAAATTAGCGTTAGGATTATCACATGCTACTCTTGTCTGAGCAGGACACAAATAATTAAGCAACTGGATGCAACGGGCTCTCCTAATTTCCCAATCTGCATGTACTTAGTGAAGGATCTCTAAAAGCTGAGAAATAAACCATGCATTTATAGAAATTACATACTATTAGCCTAGTCTGTTAGCCTAATCTGTTATGCATGTATATATACACACATACAAGATACATACCATGTAGTATTCTATTATTATTGTATCTGTGTTATTTCTATTAAAATGTTCAATATTATGGAACTGCCTGAAGCCTACTAAACAGCGAGCAAAAGGGCAATGCAGCATGAGTACCTGCCCCTCTGCATCGCTTTAAAAATGATATAGAAGGGCTCAGCACTCTGTATGTTATAATCAAGATAAAAATCTCACCATATGAGTGATAATGAGGTCCAAGAATCTTGGATTAATTCTATCTTGTATAAGACTGCAATTAGATGTCTCCAGAAACCTTATCTGGAATTCATTTTGCCAATGTCCCTGTGCTCTGCTGGCTTCAGTGCAGGGACTTCTGCACACCAGTGAATCAGATCTTCCAGACACACGCACGTTTTCTGGAACTCCTACTCTTCTCAAAAAACGTTAAGGGTAAAAATTGTCACAAGAGGCTTTCTACAAGACTGTTGCAGCCCATTTTTAAATGTAAATGATGACTTTCTTTCCTCTTCAAATATTATTTATTTTGATGTGTATTGAAAATGCAAAAAGAAATCTAATATTTCTTTTAAGACAGCTCAGAGAGAAGCTGTCTTAATTCTCCAGAGACTTTAGCGAGATTCTGAAAATTCTTCCTTTCCATTTCTACCTAGTAGATACTATTGATATAACATTGAAAGGGCTGTATTCTCCAATTTGTTTACAGCATAGCATGATTCAGTCAAACTCCGCATTAGAGTCTAAAAAAAATGTGCAAAGATGTTTTATCAAATATAGGCACTTATTGCTTAAATATACAGCATTTATTATATAAATGCACATTTCCTGTATAAATTTGCAGAATGTTTAGTCTGGCCTGGTGACTGGCAGATGTAGCTGCTTCCTCTAAACTTTAAAGAAAAAATATATTTCGAGAACTTCTAAGCTACACTAATTAGTGCCATTTTGGCTTGACAGCAATTGCACATACTATTCTGCACAAGCAACGACAAAAACAAACACAGCAACAGATGGAGCAGGAAGACATTTTCATTCTTATTCTTTTTGTTATTTTGACCATAAGGGCTTAAAGACCAAAAAAAAAGAGCCAAATCCAGCGATGTGCTTCCCTACAAAGTCCAAATTGCAAGAATGAGAAAAACACTTAAACGCTCCCCTTCTCCCTATGTTTACCCAAACTTACTACCTAGATGAGGCAATAAATGGGAATTACTGAGCACGTGCCATTGCAACACCACGAAGCATCCAACCCTGCAGCCTCCTATTATGAACACCTCTGCTAGTACCTATTAGACAAAGCAAAGCTACAAACCGCCTCTTTCTATAAATTATGAGGGTCTGCAGGTGAGGTGAGTTGGCAGGGCTGAGAGGACACAAGGAAAAGCTCTGCTTTTCGGAGACACTGCTGTCCTGCAGCAGAAGCAAGATGTCTCATGCATTTCATGAAGCTCGTAATGACTTCAGAGGGCAAAGGAGAGTGAAAGAGCTTGGTGAAGCTGCAGCCTTGGCCAGACTAGTGTTAACAGCCTCAAGGGCAGAGGAGAGGAGCTGCTAGGAGGGTCATGGAAGTGGAGAGCAGAGTGAGATCAGCTGTGAGGGCCCAGCTCGCTCAGCTCCATCCAAAGAAGGCAGAAAAGGAACATGACTGCTGCCCATAAACATGTGGGAGTCCAAGGAGGTAGAACTGGGGGAGGAGAAGAGCTGCCTAAACACAGGGTCCATACAAACCAAAATGAGACCAAAAGCTGGAGAATTTCCATGGCAGGAGACTGAGAAAAATAAAACTGATTTTATCGTGGTGCTTGACAAGTCCATGAAGGATGGCAGGGTCCTTGTCCAGGCAAGGGACTGCAGAACTCCTCCGATCCCATGTTCATTCTCTCAAGGCACACAGAGAACTACTCCGCCGTTGGACTCCACGTTTCTAATGGAATTGCTGTTGCCTTCTCACGTTTGACTTTGGCAAGGGTCAGCTCCAAACAAATTCCATCCAAGATGAAACTGCCCATCTTGGGCCAACACTCTTTATTTGATTTAGCTGTTTATAATTCAGCAAGATTAAGTTATCGCTTGGGTGGTCTCTGGGTTTCTATTCCTGTATAGCTAAAACCCAAATATATTTTAAGAAATAAAACTTCACATACATACAACAGACATGCACTACTCTCTTATGCAAGTTAAATCTTTCAGACCATGCATGTTCCCACTAGCAGATCTAATTGCAATATAGCTCAGGAATTCAGGGAAAAGGCAAGAGGAATATTTACGTGCTCCAAGAAACCTACAATTGCACATTGGCATCATACAGGTAGCAAGAAAAGCTGAGGAGAAAGTTTGCACGTGTCCAGGCCCAGGAACACCCTCCAGTTCTCTCACCTTCAGGCTCTTCAAGAAGACAAGACTGCTTATTTCCCACAAGCAGAAAGAAGCAAAAAGACCTTTTTCTTTTTCCTGACTTTCTTGAAAATATTACACAGTTCTGATCTTGGGACTCATGATGCCAGATTTTGAAACAACAACAAAAAATTCAGATTAATTTCCCAAAGTTTTGATTTTTCCGTTATTTTGCAAAGAAGGGAGGAAAAAAAGATCGTTAAATCCTTGTAGGAGCAGCAATCATTAAGCTGTCCTGCACGGTAATTAAACAGAAGTGAACGATAATGCTCAAAACATCCAAGAAACTGGCACAACTAACAAACAAAAGTTTCAGCGTCTGTTCAGCTTCCTAGCGTTCATACCCTCTTGGAGGCCACGGAGCGACACTGCTGCTTCCCTTGGCCAGTAATCCTCACTCCAGATGAACAGCAATGCATTTTCGCCTTGTTTTCAACTGCAGCCTGTCAATGCTAAGTGAAATGTGATTTGCATTCTGTACCGTACAAACTAAATACGAGGCAGGTTGATTAGGCTGCAATCTGTGAAGTTACACAACCTATTTAGCCTTTTCAGAAATATTTTCTGACCCACAGACTGAATTACAATTCAGTCTTCTGCAGAGATCTGAATTCTGAAGGCAATGTAGCTGCATTTTTCCCTTTCTACACACATAACAACCTAGATATAGATACTATGTACAGTTGTAGCAGATTAGAAATATTCCCACACGTATTTATATACTATAGTATATAAATATATACTTAATGTAACTTTTTCTATAATGCATGATTTGGCAAATGCAAGCAAAAGTTACAGCCACGGACAGCTCTCCTCCAACTGCACCGCAGGGGAAATAAGACCAGACCTTCTGATGCACAAGCAGAATCCGAACAGAAACTGGATGCAGCGAGGAAAGGATTCCAGTCAATCCTTTGATGCTGGAGCACTCAGAGGCAGTGACACACGATGATGCATTTAGGACTTTCAAAACAGACATGAAGTGAACAAAGTCAAGGACACAGCTGTACCTGACCCTCCTCAGAGCACTAGTAGCTGTGTCCAAATCTGGCTTCTCAACTATGCAATGCAAATTGCTGTCATTTAAATTACACGTAGCTACATGGCTGGCACCAGCTCAGGCCCATTCTCCTCTCCCTCTAACCCCGCTAAGGAGAGCACTTGAACAAGAAGTTCTTAGAAGCCTGTTCTACATCTCTGGTCTTTCTGGGTGAGAGAGAAGCTCAAAGCACAGAGAAAAAGCACTTGGATGGGCTGAAGGTTTTAGCTTTCCCAAAGCGGAGAGCTTAACGTAAGCATAAATCACACGCTTGCTACAGAAGTGAAAAAAATGTTCTAATCACCTCTAAATACTACAGGTTACAGGTCTAACCCTCAGTATTCAACCTAAACCACATTTTCTTCAGAAAAGAGCTTCCACTTCAGCATGTCCTATTTTCATATTTTATTGCAAATATGCATTTTTAGAAAAATTCTACATAGTTATGAAGAGGATGTTTTTTAACTGTCCCAACTGAGACCATTATGTCTTCATTGGTATCATTAATAGCTTGTCTACTGAGTACATAATTGAGATTATGCTTGGTGAATTTAGAAGTCCATATTCTGGATTTGATTTCTTTGTTTTCTCAAGCTTTTTGTGAGGGAGTGGGTTGGTTATAAAAAGCCAAAGCCATGCTGTTGGCAAATCTGCTCCCATAGCAGGCAGACTGTGAGATAATAAGCAAACTATGCACAAAACAGATGGGTTGGAAGAGAAAAACATCTAGCCTGCTGCCCAGCATGTACAGGCACTATCAGGATGCTCTCACAGAAGCAGCTTCCACAGAGAAAAGCAGTTCTCTTCACATGAAAATAACGTAAGACAAAAAAAATCACTTGGGACATTGTAGGAGACATTTTTTGCCTACATCAACAACCGTGCAGTGTCCCTGGCATCCCCTCCATCCCAGCACAGGTATCAGGTATTCCGGCTGTGTCCCCGTGCTTTCTAAATTCAGGCTCTACAGCAGACATGACAAGGGAGCACCACAAGAGCACGTGCTAATGCAATGAAGAAAAACAGGTATGTTCCCTTCTCATTCTTTTAGCATGAAACATTTCAAGGTAAGGAGTATTTCTCCATTTGATTTGTAATTTTGGATGGTTCAGGTCATTTACTTCCAAGTATGCTGCAACACCCAGGCTGAAACATGAAGGAGTTTTGATGGAATAAGTTTTACTTGGTTCTGTCTTGAGTGATCCATAACTCCAGAGACATTCTGACCTTTAAATCCTGGCAAAGGCTTTTTTTTTTTTTTTTTTTTTTTTTTTTTTTTAAGACATTTGATTTTTCCATTCTTTCTTTGTGTTTTATTATTGGCTACAGTCCCTTTGACCTCAGCTAAATTCAACACCAATCCCGAACTGGTTAAACCCATTTAGGAACTTAAAAAGTATTAACGCATGAGCCTACAGAGAGAAGAACCTATGCAGTTTTTTAAAAAAGTCTCATTATTTCCGTTCTTAAAACAATAAAACGTCAAGTTGCTAGAAGAGCATGTCGTATTCCCTTGCAGAACATGCAGATAAAAACAAAACAAACCCACAACCCACAGATCACACCTAGCTGAAATCTAAAGCGCTTGAACCAGCTCCTGCTACTTGCTGGCCTCAAGAGCAATGCTCTCGCTGGAAACACGGGTTTGAGGGAACTGAGACACGTTGTAAGGATGGGTCGTTTTAATCAACATTTCTAACAAGTCAGAGATTCCCAAGCAGCGATCTGCACAATAATTCCAGCAGAACACAACGGAAATACAGAAAACAAAAGGAATGACTCGAGCCTGTGTTTAAAGTGTATTTATCCTTCCCTTAGCTTCCTCCCACTGAAGGATTTTCAAAAGCATCAGCTATCAAACACCTTTGACTCTGCTTGTTTAATGATAGACACTTTGGGGACCCGACCTTGAGGGATCCAAAGGGGTGAAAGGCAGCGCTGCCTTCCCGCCTCGGCCTCCCGCTCACCTTGTCGACGTGCGGGTGCCAGTACTCATCGTGCGTCGTCTTGGCTTCCGTGCTGTTTATCCTGGAGAAGAAGGTCGGCTTGGTCAGGTAGAGCGCGGAGGGGCTGATCCCAAAGGCCTGGGCAACTCTCTGCTGAATTCGCTGCCTCACGTCCCTGCGAAGGCCACGCGGCACGAGGGGCTCAGGGCGGGAGCGCAGCCCCCCGCGGCTCCCAGCCCCCGGCCCGGCCTCTCACATGCCTCCGTGTCAACAAATTCCGTTCTGCATTTATGAACTATGGAAAGTTAAAGGGAGTTTTTCGTATAAACAACTTCAGTCCGCAGGAGATGACTAGGAAGTTGCCTCTTTGTAAAGGGCTGCCACTTGAGAGGAGCTTTTTTTAAAGCTGATAGTTTCAGACACCAAGAATACAGGGTTCTGGGTCAGCACATGTACCCATGGCCAAACCAGAATTTCCCTTAAAAAAAAATATATATATATATATATATATAAAATTTATATATATACACACACACACACATATATATATGAATGCAAGGTGTCTTTCCCAACTATTCTGAAATTATCAACCAGTGTGTCTCTATCTTGGCTGTTCCTATACTTAGAAAAAAAAAGTTAAAAAATTTTTTTTTTCTTTTTACATTATAAAAAATAGAAGAGAGTAAAAATCCAGCATGCTTTACTATACAATACCACCTATACAGAAGCATCCTGGTTTCTTTCATAGGAAAAATAACTATATTTAGAGCTCAAATAGAGGTGTCCAGAATCCCCAGCATCCATTCAAGCAATGACCTTAATGAAACTGTGATAATGAGGAATATCACTGGTTAATTCTCCCAGTAAACACAAACAGCCAGCATTTAACCTTGAGGAAGTTTAAAGAAAAAAGAAAAAGCAAAGAATGAAATAGCACACTGAGATTAAGTGAAAAATCTAATCTCCTGTGCTTCATAAATATCTATATATTGCTTTCTCCCAGTATTAGCACATTCTTGGCTATTGCATTAGTCTGTCTATTCTTTCCCAAGTGCTTCTGAAGAAGTACACTTAAAAATAAACAAATACCTGGAGTAAACACACTTGTGATGCTGCTAATGGAATTCCATTAGTATTTCTGCGTATTATCTTTCATACACATAACCCCTCGTTTCGCTTTACCATGAACTGCATCCAAAGCACAGCTGGCACTTTGAACAACCCAAAGCAAAACTTAACAAATATTCATATTAAGAATAAATATTTCCTGGCTCTGATGCAGGGTGGCCAATGGCAGCTGAAATGCATCCACTCTGAAGCAGTCAGGCAACAATATTGATGTTACTTTCCATCTCCAGTAGTTCTGCTGCTCTCCAATACGGCTTCCTCTTCCAGGTTGACCCTTTCCCACCTCTAAAATCTAGGAAGATTTGCTCCATAGCCTTGAAAAGGCCCAGTTAAGGGTTCTGCCCCTTGAGACTTGCAGGCGATGACTTTAAGCATGGCTGCAGGTTTTGCAAACCATGCAGGAAAGAAAAGCTCTGCTCAACTGTTTCCAACAGACTAACACGACACCCGAGAATCCAGCTGCTTTGGGCCAGGTTATCGGAGGAAAACACGTGCAAAAGCTTAATCTGATGCAAAAAGAAAATAAGCACAGTCTTCAAAACATAAGTTTGTGCTTCCTGTTTATAAATCAAGGCAGCAAGGGAAGCAGTGAATGGGCAGGCAGAGTCATGGGGCAGTTGAGGATGGCAGGTCCAACAGGATGAGTTTATGCCCTACCCTGCTCAAGCAGAAGCATCTGCCTTCAGCTGACCACACACAAGCAGGTAACTAATAGTTCCTGGGTGATGGAGCCTGCAATGACTTTTTATTTCCCTTTGTGCTCTTGGCTTTAAATATTGCACCAGCTTTAACTGCACCAGCTTCTCCAGCAGAACTGCCTTTGAGTGAGCCTGTGTGTGCCGCCTGCTCCAGGGGCACTGCGGAGGGCAGGGCTGGCCCCTGCTTGTTCCTTCTGAGCCAGCACGACATTCTGCATAGCACAGCATCACTCTCCAAAACCCAACCAGAACAGTCAGTGAAGACAAGATTTTCCATTTGCACATGAGGAAGAGCTTCTTTGGTGTGGGGGTGAGACCGGGTGCCCCGTGCTCTGCATGTCCCTGCTGGAGCAGGGGCTGGGCTGGGGGATCCCTAGGGGTCCCTTCCAACCTCAGCCATTCTGTGGTTCTGTGATTAAGCAGATTAGCGAGAACTTTATGCACAACAGACATTTGCTGCTCAACAACGACAGCAAGAACCTGATTGATGGTAATGAGAAGCTTCAAAAAACATGTACTCAACCTCTGCACTTCCAGCTGTGTTTGCACAGGGTAGGACACACCAAAGCCAGCATGTCTGGGGAGCAGGTTCATAGCAACAGCCCTCCTTCAAACACAGGAAGGCAACTGCCTTCCTTCAGTGCATAAAGGGATACCGACTATTTGCACCAGAGCAAAACAAATGAAAGGGTTAACCAGCCTATAATAAAAGGTTGAAAACTAAAGAAGCAAAAGGAACATTGCCTGGCATGTGGGCTGCAAAAACATTTCAAAAGTCTCTTAGTGGGAGAGGACACTTAATCTTCCACTTTGCCTTCACTTAGACATATTTGTGAGAGCAGGGGAAGAGTCAAGTTATTTTTTCAAGGCCCAACAAACCCATGCTGAGTGGGGAGACATTTATTAGCTCCAAGGAACTCAAAATGAAGCATTCGAAGCACAAGCAGAATAACCCAATCCATGCCACACTGGAAACCACTCTCTGGGGTTTCACCACTCAGCCTGCTCAGGATGTGGCCCTGTTCTCATCAGATGCACTGAACAGAGCTCTGCCCTTGCAGCAAGTAAAGTAAATGAGCAAAAGCAAGTAAATGAGCAAAAAATCCAGTCAGCAATGCAAGTAAAACTTGACCCCCTCCCAGAATCGGCCATCCTCAAACCTCGTGTATTCTCAGTAAATCCCTGGGGGAAACCGACATGCCCAGGTCAGACTCGTGGGAAGGAAGAGCAGAAATCACTGGAAAGAATACTTAACCACTTTCTATAAAAGTAGCTACTGAAGCCCATTTCATAATTGAAATAATGAGCAAGAACAAAGGAAAATAGGAAAAGGTGATAGAGTAGCTCAAAGTCTAAGGAACACGAAGCTAAAACAAAAGGCTGTGCACAAGCTGATGAAGCTTCCAGCGTAATGCACTGGCAGCAACAGGGAAGAGGACTGGGAAAAAGAACTAAAGCACACACAAAAGTTTCTGCAGGATACAAATGCCGTCAGATCAGCCAAAAAATGCACTGCTAAGAGTCACTGTGCAAAGTGGGATTTCAGCGGCAGTGACGGGAACTCACTCAAGCTCCTGGAAACCAGACAACCCTTCCAGCCCACTTGCCAAAGTCTGCACGATTCCGAGCAAAAAGCGGCACAAACAGACACAGAAAGTTCTTCTGCAACCAGAGCGTTTTAACAGAAACCACACATGCAGAAAGAGGGAGAAAGGGAAACCCTACCAGCTCTCTCCGCTCATTTGGCATCTGTACCTCAGTGAATTGAGGAATTTGGGAAATAAATCTTTGATGCTGCCTTTTTTTTTTTTTTTTTTTCCCCCTGAAGTTACCACCTTTAAACCAAGCATCTAAATTTAAAGGTCTCTTTTCAGGATAAAAATACATCTATTATGTGACACAAGGGGAATTGCCGTAATAAGCCTGGCATTTGGCGGATAAAGCTTCAGCCTAGAAAATGTAATTGATTCTTGAAGCAACATAATTTTGACACAGAGAGTTTAGAAAGCGGCCTCCTGGCTCAGGATGTCTACTTAAATTTGTTACTGCCATAATCAGTAATACTCAGACACGAATTATTTTTAGTTATTTCTCTCAAGGGTGTATTTTTAAACAGACCTTGGTAGGTAAATGGAAGTAATGAAATAAATGTTCCCAAGAATAGCACAAAACCATTCAGGACAGACATAAGCTGCTACAGCTTGTGCTCAAGCATGGCCATTAATACAAATAAAAGCATTCTGTGATGTATATAAGATTCGTATCCATCAGATTGACACATCCCCTATAGTAGCCTAACATATTCCCAGACAGCTGTCTCATCCCACAAAGTAAGGAGCAGAAATATTTATGTGATTTGTTTGAATTTTGATTCATACAAAACAAAAATACCCTTTAGCAAGGCACCTCCTGCCCCCAGGTACCCACATACTTCCTACAGATTCTTTGATCATACACAGAAACACACGTATATGTAAGACCAAGGACACCTCTCTCCCAATTACTCTTCACCATCATGGGGAGGCACGGACTAACTTTTCCATACTCATTGCAAAGTTCATTAACAATCAAGAAAGCAGCACACTTCAGTGAGGTGTTAGGGCTCAGAGGTGAGCACACTTGAAAGAGAAATTCACAGAATCACGGAATGGTTGAGGTTGGAAGGGACCAACCTCAACTGCTAGAGACCATCTAGCCCAACTCCCTGCTCCAGCAGGGACGCCTCATTCAGCAACAAGATAACGGTATCTAAAAAGGGTCAAGCAAAATAATTTTATACTGTAAATAGTTAATGCTTTCTGAAGATAAAACTACAGTAATAAAACTAGCCAGATATAGGCATTCCACTCATACCCCACTTCTGAGGAATTTATTTTGCCATTTAATATTACTTCAGGCACTAGAGGGAGCTTAGATTCCTCCACAAAGGCAAGAAAATCTACAAAAACAATTAGAAACCATTTAAATTGGACTTCAAAATGTTCAAGTCAGGTACGTTTTAAGTTACAAAAAGCTACTGTTCAAATACACAGCTAGAGATTTATTATGTCCAGTCAACACTGAATGCTTGTTCCTAAACCTCTGCCACACACCTTCAGGCACATGGAACTCGTTAACTTTGTTGTCCTCGTTGCATATACGAGTAGATGTACTGGAAAGCTAAAAGAATGAGATGCCAAAGGAACCATATTAGAGTGGTGTTTCATATTCTTGCTTTTTAGGGGCAAAAATATGCTCTGCCTTGCTAGCCAGAACAGCAGGAGCGCAAGTCCGTCCTCATTGTGCTTTATCATTGCTCATGTTTTGCTGCACTTCACAAAAGACTCAAGTGTTAAGAGCATACAACCCTCCGTATCAATTAATGCAACATTCCCTGAAAAGCAGGTGGGAAACAGGAGCGGATGGGCAAGTTCTACATCCTAAGCTTCGCGTTTACAGCTAACAGGTTCTGACAGGCGCAGGACTCTGAGGAAGCAGCTCCCCCTGCTCGCACGTCTGCAGGAGCAGCTTCCATCAGAACCAGCCATACATCAAATCAATACTGAGCCAGCCTTTGATAATTTGTGAAATGAAGCCTTAGAGCAATGAGATTTTAGTCCAAATGATGGAAAACAACAGAGGAATAGGTAGAGGTGTCAGCTAAGCTCAACATCAGATTGAGGTTAATGTTAGGTTGAGCTCAACTTTTTTTGCTGCTACTTCCTTTCCCAATAAAGGGGAAAACACGATGTTCACAGGCTTGGGGGCAGCCCAACGTTACAGGGACAGTCTGCAGGGATAAGTTATACAAATTAACATTTCTCCCCATTGACCACTTAAAGAAGGTGAAATGTGATCAGAACCATGGCAGCCCTACACATCTATATCACCTGTACTATCCTGACATCAGAGATGCAGATAAAATAACATCTGAATGCTCTGAACTAACCAAACAGTCACCAGAAGGTCCTTTAAATTATTTCCCTCAGTGTCCGTTTAGCTTGCACAGGGATAACTATTTTGAACTGCAAATAAAATCGCAAGACTGAATCTATCACAGCGCTCTACCAAAGGCCAAATTATGTTTTGTCATTCCTCCAGCAGTTATTGAAGTTCTTTACCGATACAATGCAAAATCCTCTTCTGTGAAGATGTCTTGAATTTTGTCCCCAAAGTACCTGGAAAATTGAACACGAGTCTCAAAGAGGAATCAACCAGCCCAGGTAATAGCAAGCTCCATTCTCACACCCACCTGCTTTACCCACAACGAATACGTTAAGACATAATGAAAATCATTATTTGTAGGAAGTGTGATGTTCCCAAAGCACTGTTCAATAATTTAATATTAAAAGAGCAAAGGATCAAAAGGCAGCAAGTGATAACTGATTTTGCCAGAAATGAAAATCTCCCCTCCCACCTCAGGAGACAAGCTTACAGATTCAAAACAAGTTGAGTGCTTCATCTCTTTTATTTTGTTGACAAAACTATAGGTAATATGTAAATATGATAAAAATATATGATTTTCTGGTGCGTGATGAACTCAGAAGAACAAGTTCTAAATAGTTCTCAAAGAGCTCAGTTTAAAACAAAGAAAAAAGAAGATTTTCAGAAGTTTTATACAGGTTTTTCAGGTTTTCAGAAGTTTTATACAGGTCATGGGAACAGTGGCAAATCTAACTTCTACAGCGTGACACTGTTAACTTCATTTCTCACAGCCTTGAGAAATGAAACAAGCCACAACCGTTTTACCTGTACAGGTTGACAAAATGCTTGCCCAGGGAAAGAGCTCCAGAGTGTAAATCCAAAATAGAAGCCTGGGAAAAAGAGGCAAATGTTAAAACAAACAAACAAACAAGAGGGAAAAGGAGCATAGAAAGCTTTGTCATTATGTAACTATGACCTTAAATAACTATCCTAAGTCAACTTTTTTGCAACTTTTTTTTTATCCTAAGTTATTAGCTTTTAAGATGGTTCCCAATATTAATGCTTATTTTGTCTTACTATTGCAAGCCTCCCTCAGACTGTTGTGATATATTGAGACATGCGCACACACACACATATATATACATATATGTATGGACAAAAGATTAAAATACTACAGACAAGAATTTCAGGAATAGCAGTCCTGTGTCATTCTGTGACATAGAGAACTGCCAGTCTTCCTGCATGGCAAAGGATACTGCCTTCCTGGATCCCTTCTTCAAGGCACTCCCCCTCCTCACCGAGATGGATAGTTTTCCAAAACGTGTCAAGTGCTTGAATAGCAGCACTAATACTTACTTTATTTACCACTTGTTACTAAAAACTACTCCCTCACAGTTCCCGTGCACTTCTCTCATTAAATACTACAGACATGACAGTCTGCTTAAAAGAACAACTACAACTCTAAATTTTGCTAGACTCAAATGATATATTTAAAAATATGAAATAAATCTGATTGCTGCAAAAGATGAAAAAGTCATTTTTTTTTCATTTACAAATTAAATGCATTCTCCCTCTGATTCAAGTTAAACACTTCTGTTTACCTCAAGGCTGAACTAAAAGGACTGAGATGCAGATTTGCTAGGGCAGAGAGACACCTCGCCGGACAGACCTCAACTGTCTTGAGCTTCAGTACTGCAACAGAGGAACCTCACTGAAGTTCCCATTTAGAAGTGAGACATAACAACAACCTTCCTTTAATAAACTTTATCCAAATCATTTTATTCAGCCCTGAATCCTTTAAAATGTATAATGAGTTGCTTCAATGGACAGCACAGGAGCTTTTCAAATCTCTCCTTCTCAAAGAAGTTCTCCAAAAGCCACAAACAGCTGCAGGGAAAAGTCATCTCACACTCATCTCGGAGCAGCTCTCAGGCCAATCTTTGCTCAAGAATCAGTAAAAAATAAGCAAACAAAAATGCCTCTCAGGTACTTGCAGCACGTTTCCTAAGCACACACAGGTGCTTCCTCAAGCCGCAGAAGCTCACAAGCCTGTGGGCAAATCATTCCAGCACCATTTCCTGCACTGGGAAGGATGCCTTGGTGGAAGCTGGTGGTGTCACCAGCATCACTTCAGCTTCACCAGTCTGCTGTCCGGGTAAGTGGTCCCCGTTTGAACCCCCTGCAAAGGTTATGTAAAAATGGTAGGAACAATGCAACTGCATATACCCAACGCATCTGCTTCTGAGAACTTCCAGGAAAACTACCCCAATGTCCTGGCTTACAGAACTTCTGCAAATAGGAAACCATATGAGGAAGAACTTCCTTGCTGTGGAGATGCCAGAGCCCTGGCCAAGGCTGCCCAGGGCGGCTGGGGAGGCTCCTGCTCTGCAGATCTCCCCAACCCGCCTGGATGGGACTGGGTGCCCCGAGCTCTGGGTGTCCCTGCTGGCGCAGGGGCTGGGCTGGGTGATCCCTAGGGGTCCCTTCCAACCTCAGCCATTCTGTGATTCTGTAAAACTGGACTCCCTTCAAAAGTACAAATCCAGGTGCTTTCAGACCTTGATTACTGTTCCTTTCCACTTGCTTGATAAAAGGATCCAGAAAGGACATGCAAGTAATCAGCAGATGCCAGCACACAGCATAAAGCATCACCTTGCCCAGTTTACAAAGAGCCACAGGCCCTTACAATGCCTTTGGTTAGGATCAGAGCAAACTATTACCTACATAATCACTGCTACAGCAATTCTACCTTGTTTCTTCTTTCCTTGAAACATTTACTTAAGATACAGAAAGAAAACAGCTGACAAGCCACCTGGAAGAGAAGATGCAAAGCCCATTTCCACCTTTATCTAGAGAGGCTGGTAGAGCTCGAGACCTTCCCCATTCTCCAGTGCCCACGCTCAGGCTGGGAAAAGGGAAGAGCAGCAGAGCTCTCCATTCCCACGTCTTCCTGGGCAACACCAGACTCGGGTTCTCAAAACAAGAGCAACTTCGAGAGCTTCTCTGCTCAGATCTTGAGAGCAGGACGCAGTTCATGCCTTTTAAAATTTATACCAATTATTTACAAGGCATAAATGTAACTAATCTAGTTTATATATCCTTCAGATTTCAGGAGATGCGGGCAATTACTGTGGAGATTGAATGGAATATTTGAATATGGTGCCTGATACAAGTTCATGCCAAGCACAGAGCAGACACAACCCATTCCTCCCAAGCCGTCTCGTATAAATCCAGTCACACTGACACACACTTGTACAAGAACAAAGTTAAGTGATGGACACCCTATCAAGTGGCAGCTCCTTGCAGAAGATATTAAAGAGGCTAAACGTGAAGGATGGAAACTATGTGCCCTGTAGTAGAGGTAGGTGGCAGGGGTGAAAGGCAAAGCCCTATGCAGAAGCTTTATCCTCTTCCAGGAAAATGCAGAATGGGAAGCATTTTGAGGACTTCAAGGCCTGGGTGGGAGAGCTGAAGGCAAAGCAAGGAGTGACACCACGTACAGAAATACTGGTCCACACAGGAGTCTGCGTGCACACAACAGAAACCCTTGCTGGGATAATGGCTACATGCTCTGTTTGCTTCTTTCACTGACCAAGAAATTTAATTTTCTCTGCAAAAGGCAAGTCCAGTTAACTACTCCTACCATTTTTGCTGCAATGCAGGAATCAAAGGAGAGCTGCACTACCAAGTTTCTCTTCTGGTGCTTCTAAAAACATGCCCATAGACTCGATAATGAGTCAAGTTTCATATACACTGGAGAGAAGTTACGATGACAGCACCTAAGATGTGAACGAATGAGTCATGAATAAAAAAGAAACCCAAACAGGGGGAGCCTGCAAGAAAATATAAGGTAGGGACTAAAGGGGAAAGTCATTATCTCTACAGAGAAGAAAAAAAATAAAGGCAACCAGTATCAAAGTAGCTAAAGCAAATGACATTCTGCGAATGAGAGAAAGAACAGAGTGCAGAACTATTTTACAACTGCAGTCTGCAGAGACCTACAGAAGAAAGAAGCTCATGAGTGGAAGCAAACACGTGCCCTTGCTTGGATTCTGTTGGGAGTTAGACTAGAGGACTGTAATGGCCTCTTCCAGTCTCCATGCATATATATATATATGCATAGAAAAATATACATATGTGTGTGTATATGTATACATATATACATGTGATGTATATATTACATGATATCTATATATGATTCATACACACACATACATATTTATGAATCTAAGAACAATCAGAAAGGAAGACTGGAGCAGGTAGCATCAGTAGCTTGGATGTCTGCCAGGATCTTCTCCACACAAATGGATGGAGAGGGGAACCCAAACGTGGTTCGTTACACTTCAGTTCTCTGAGGAAACCAGGAGAGGGGCAGTCAAAGAAGAACCTATTGCAGATTTAGCTCTTCAAACTACACCAAGCGACACACACACGTGGCATCAAAATTTAAGCCATATGACTGACAGAGGTCAGACACGTGGCTGGGAAGAAAGGAGAAAGATGCAAACGTAGTCAGTACTACAACAGGAATTTCTGGAAGCTTAATTAGGAATGGTTATGGGCTCAAATTGTCTAGCAAAAAATGAAATTAAAGAAGAGAAACAAGGAATTGCTTAAGCAAATCTTCAGAAAAAAGCAACAAACCCCATGCAATCCAATACACCTGAAGCTTGGAGGCAAATATGCAATGCAGCTAGACGAAGTAAGACTTGAAACATTTTGTGTGCTATCCAGATGACAGATTTAAAGAGAGGATAAAGGCTCCAGGACAGACAGACGGCTTCATCTACACACCATCAACATTTGACAATGTCTGGGAGCCAAGATAACAATAGCAGGAATTGATTCCCTCCATGACATGAAGACTAGACCTGCATACACCCCACAGAGAGAGAGGTAGAACAGGGAAAAGAAAGCATGAAAGAATACAAGTAAAGGGACTATGTCCAAAAGCTTCCCCTAAACACAATCCCCAGGAAACAGCGGGCAACATCTTCTGATGTTTATCCATTATTTTGGACAAAGCCCCAGTGCAGCCTCACACAGCTTCTGTCTCGCACCTCTCCCCATGGAATAACAGCACTCGGTGACTTTCTCACATTCGCACATCACGAGAAGCACAAGATCTGGATGATAGCACAGACCTCCCCGAGGACATCGGATTTCTTACAGAACTTTATCTTGTTGCAACGATAGAATCTTCCTGTCCCCGGCTTCTCTCTCTGCTTTCAAAGCGCACGCAGCGAGGCCTCCAAGATGATTCAGAGAGCGGATCTGTATCTGTCAGCAAGCCTGGCTTGTTGTCCCCATAGCCCAGCTCGGGAGCTCAGCTCTTGGCCAGCGCGCACTCTGCTCATCTCTCACCGTACTCATGTCTCCCCTCAGGCCGCCCTGTCTCTGCTTGCCCAGCTCCCTCACCCTCAGCTGCTCACTCACTCTCTGCTCTCCATGGTCCAGGCCCATGAAGCCCATAAAACCATCTCCATTCTGTGCTGAACACTATCCTTTCAATTCCTCTTTGTGGAGTCTAATGAAAATCACATCTCGGTTCCAAGAGAAGGAGACAGAAAACGATCCTCTTGACAGGAGTTAAGCAGCAGATCTAAAAAAGGCCCCGTTACCTAGTCAAAATGGCAAGATTTGCAGTCACAAAGTTGAAACATCCAAGGGATCCTGACTGAGTCAACAGAGAACATTCCATCTCTGAAAGATGCTGTTTTAGACCGGCAACACTGCCTAAGTTTCTCAGTTTACATTTTTCACACGCTTCCTGGCAATCCTAAGTACGATAACATCTTATTTTTTCAGCAAAAGACATGGCTTTGTTTTCATTTTTTTAACCTTTTTCATTTTAAAGGTTTTCATTTAAAGCTCTACATGAGATATTACACAATACTTCTTGTCACCGCACAAAACCAATGTCTAAGTGACAGTCGTGCTCCACTGGGATTTAGCTTCTCAAAACAAGCAGTCAAACCTGTGAGTTCTGCTGCAGTAACCGATTCCAAAGGCAGAAGACAAAACCATGCCCTAAAACAGAGAGTTCAACAGAGGCACTGGAAATGCTTGGCCGCATAACATGGAATGCATCAGCTGTACTGGTGTCCTTTATTTTACCACTAGCAGAGGGAAGGAAAACATTGAGGTAAATTGTTCCCAAATCTGAATGTAAGGACAAAAATCTCCATTTCAGCTCCCCTCCCCACTAGCCCTCAAATGAATTTATAAGTAAAAGGATGTTAAAAGTGAGTGGGTACTGCTTACCCCTCCATCAGATCCTCCCAGGGAGAGGCCTCTCTCCGCTATCCTGTAGGCAGAACAGTAACCTCAGGTGAGGACTGATTTGTTTTTTAATGCCATTACTTACAACATACAGCTCTTCAGTCAATGCCAGTTGACACATCACATGTACCCTAACTGAGTGGAAAGGAGAAGCTGCTGTTTATTTGCAAACTTTTAAATCGTGGAGCCTGTCGTGGAAAAAAACAAAAAGTCTCTACATTGCACAACATTTCTGAGCTCAAAGTTCTTTTTCATAAATCTCCCAAAACTCTCCTCGAAAAAGTTGGTTGTCAAAGATATCCTAAGCAAATAAGATAAACACACACTTTTTTTAAAAAATTACTATTTTAAATGGCATAACACAGAGCTGCTGTATCAAAAAAGGAGCCTAGATTTTGAAAAGGCTGAAGACCAGCCTGAGCAGTGAGCCAAGCACCACACCAGCTGCACGCCAGCCTAGGGCCACGGTGAGTTACAGTGGTTATTTCCCCTAGGTGACCGCTGAGTACAGAGAGCACTCAGCTCACTCTCCTAACTCCATAACCTGCTAGTGTCTCCTACCGCTTGATCAAACCCACCTCTCTGTATTCATAGAAGACGCCACACAGTCAGCACCAGCTCCTGACCATCCACAAAGAGATGAGGCTAGAAGAAGGTTTGGCTGTTTTGTTGTTTTTCAAGATCAGGTGGAACAGAAGGCCAAGTGAAAAATCCTTTAAAATCCATTTAATTCAGAGAATACCACCTTCCCTTTGGATGTGAATTATTCTCCACAGCCCACATGCCACCCACTGAACTAGCCAGATTCTATATGAAACAGCCCTAACTAAAGCAAAAATGCAAAATGGCTCTAGAAAATAAGCCCGTTTATGCTTTAGCCTGTTTAATCCCTCTCCTTAGTACTTCAGCTAATAAGCTTTGTGCCATAGCTACACCTTAAGCACAGGCTCACCATCAGCATGAGCTGCTTCCTCTTCAACACAAACTAAAACCCTTGTAAAAAGAAAGAGAGATTTACCTACGGATTCTTTCAGCTTCCTCCCGAGTGATCACTGCATCGGTTACTCCTCTCCCGCACTTCCTCGGGGTACAGCCTGCAGCATGAAAAAAAACAGAAAAAGAAACAAGATAATCTGTCAAAAGAGGTTCGGAACAAGTCTCAATAAATACCCTCCTACTCCCTTTTCAGATTCACAACATCCAGAAGGAACATCACTTATCTCAAAACATTTTAGATCGTTCCAAATAAAAGAAAGACCTCAGTTTCAGTGGGTTTTGTACCTCACCTCCTAGAGAGACCAGTCAGGCCACAGATATACTGGAGAAGCACAAACAAAACACCAGATTTACGGGGCTGTGCCACACAGGACCCAGAGCCTCTGACCTTTAAGTTAAACAAAATGCAGAGCAACGCTGGGCCTATAAAAATAAACTGTTTTTTTCTGTTGTCCTGAAAATAATTCCTGGCCTCATTTAATTTTCTTAAGAAGAGTCTGCTGCAAATTTGTTGCTCAGTTTTTTTATTACAATAAACCAAATATAGAATTCAAACTGACTCACTGATGTCAGCTTGCAAATCAACTGCTTAGAGCTGTTTAGTAAGGCTATAGTAGACACACATACACATCCTTCTAGTTATACAGAGATATATAGACATATAAACCTGGTTTTGATGCAGAGAAGCATGGTCCTGGCCCAGCAAAGCTCCAAGAGGTATTACAGTTAATTCGCACTGTATCTGCATCCCTGATTCAATTTGCTCTAATTCAGTGACAGCGGAAAAAACTCTTGGGATAAGAAGAAAGAGCGGAAGCCTCACAAACAGGAGGGGGAATCGCTGCTTCACCAAAGGAAAATTTAAAACATGAATAAAGAGTTCAAGCTATGAAGGAGATATTACAAATAACGGGGGTTTCTCCATAGATACTTCTCTGTATAGTATAGCTTACTCTGCTATTTCATATATTAACACACAAGGAAATTAATTCAACTTATGTTTCTGTTTCGACCATACATCATTCAGTTTGTTAACAAAGATTCCTGCTGGCAAGTGCTGAGAACTTCTGTGTTTGCCCACTGCAAAAGCAACATTAACCTAAGAAAAGAGTGAATCAGAATCGCAGACTGATGCTCTGACCACACAGTTGGGGTGAGAAAAAGCAGAATAAAACCAAACAAACATGCAGAAGAATCAGGAGGAGGCCTGGAGCACTCTGTAGGTGGTGTCTACACAAATACCTCGAACAGCAGCTTTTTAAACAGTATTTTTAATATCAAAAGCTTATGGGAAGAAAAGCCAGCAGAAGAACTGCAGATAAAGAGCATATGCAAGTTCTTATGGAATTAGAAGTCCAGTTCAAAGCAATCTTTAGACAACAACACAACTGAATTTTAAGCCCCCAGTGACCCTGGGCTCTGTGCTGGGGAAAATCCATGCTTGGATGCAAAGCACCAGGCACGTTTGGGTGAACGTGTTTCTGACCCTGGCCATGCACTCGCTCCTGCGGCCCCACGCTCCTCTCTGAGCATCAGCTGCTCGTCAGAAGCCCATCGAAGGGGCAAAGTGTGCCCGAAAAATCAACCCGTTCGCCCGTGCATGTCAAAAGCATCAGTCTACTCCCATCAAAAGCAACTAATTGAAACGACGACCATAACATGATGGAAAGCAAAACCTGTCACAGGGCGAGTGCCTTGTATGAATTCAGGCTCTGTTCCAGTGGATGCACCCTGGCTACATCTCTGGGAGGGATTCAAGTCCCTCCAGCATTTCAAGACAGAAGCAAAACAAAGATGAGAGGTTCATCTTTTCACACTGACCCAGATGAGTGGTTCAGTACTGACAACAACAGACTGACCTGTATGCACTATTTCCTTGCTTAGGGAAGAAGAGGAGGCCACTTGGAGACTTCAGGTTAAACCTATGTTAAAGGCACCACATCGGACTGCCTAGGCTGGCACTAGCACCCCGAGCCGGGCCCTGCCTTCCCCACGCACTCCTGGGCATGCACAGACGTGGTGCTCCCTGCTCGAGCTCTCCACAGTCATTTTTCACATTTCAGTTATTCACACATCAAAACCAGCCCTCCCCACGGATCAGCCACCACACTGAGGTGGGGTCAGTGAGCAACGGGCCCTGCCACCTGACTGCATCATAGCCCAGAAACCTCAACACATTTTGGGACCATCCGGCAACAATCCGCCGAGGGCAGGTGAAGGTGTGAGCTCCAGGGAGCGCACACTCCACTACTTGAGGATGGTGGCAGAAACGAGCAGCCCAAAACAAAGGTAGATGTTGTTGATGTTATGGTCCTGAGCATCCAGGGCGCCCCGGCGGAGCAGAACCCAGCACTGCAGCAGCAGCGAAGCAGAACCACTGTCCCCGCAGCTCCCTTTCCTTTTCATGACCCTATGAATGAAAGGAGGAGAGAACAGAAGCGAAACAAGCTCTTCTTCACAAACTGTAACATCTTGGGGAAACGCAAACAAACAAAACCCACAAAACCAAAACCACAGGGGCTTTGTAGGGGTAGGTTGTTTTAAGTTCCAGGTTCGGAATTGGGAGAGGGAAGAGAAGGGAACTTCTGCACCATATTCCAGGCACACTGTAAATTTTTTTTTTCCTGGATTGCGGAAATTTAGATAGAGTTTTTATGGTCATTCTGTCCCTTCTAAAGCATTTAAATCCAGGAATCAGCAATTTGCAAGTCCAACGCTGCCGAGCACACAATAAAAATTCAAGCAGTGGAAGCTCCGTGTTCATCCGGAGCCCAGCAGCGCAGCCATTCTGAACAGCAACAAGTGGCAGCCAACAAACTACCTGCTCCTCACATTAAAAAGCACCCATTTCAGACAGCTCTGCCTTGAAGGGCTCCAATACGGGATCAGCAGTGACAGATTAAATCAGATACTCAATTCTGAACATCAAGCAGCTTGGAGGCTGACTGGGAAGGATGAGACATCCCTGCCTGCAGGCTGGCAAGCGGGGCACAGGCAGGAACAGCCACCAAAGCTGCACGGACAGAGGCAGCCACGAGGAGCTAATCTTGGTTCACTTGCCATGCATTTAGTTAATTAGTAATCCTAGGATCTCCTCAGAGCTTTGCAGAACAATCATCGTTAATCACAGATCACACAATGCATTTTACACACTGCACCTAAAGTTGACAACTTTATTCCTGGCACAACTCTACCTGCAGATTGCCACAAGTGTGCTTGATAAAACTTGATTGCCCTGTTCTAAAACAGGATTAAAAAAAGACTGAGGTAACAGAGTGATAGGAAAGTGAGGTTTTAAGGACTCCAGGAGAAAGCTGAACACAGGAAAGCAATGAAATTCTTTCAAAAGACAGAGATAAAAAGGGGAAATGACTTTCCTTCTGTCACTGAAAAAAAAGTCTCTTTAATGTTGGAACGACAAAGAAAACTGTCTTTGAGATAAGGGGAAAGGGACAGTCAAGAAGAGACTTAGCAGAAACAGGAATATCCAGAGGAGAGTTTCAACACTCCAAGGACAAACTCATCTGAATATAGAAATTTGGCTTTGTTTTAAAACGACATTCTCAAAAAAAGGAATCCAGCAAAGACTCATAATTACAGAAGAGGTTGGTACTTTGCGTTTCCAGCAGCAAATAACAGCAGAGGCCTTTCCCTTCAGGAAAGGTTGGTACTGGGGAACCAAAGTTTTGCAAAGTTACTTGGCTAAAGAGGACAGGCAGAGCACGACCAGCATCTTTGGTGAAGAACCGGCAAGAACAGCCTTCGGGGCAGGAGATCTTCTGAAGGCAACAGCAGACCATTTTGCCAAGCCGAGAAGGAAGAGAGAGTTCAGCAAAAAGCCAGTCACGAACCAGCGCTAAGCACAGGAAGGATCAGAACAGTAAGTCTGTTTATTTGAAAGCAAATTTAGCATTTAAAAAAAAAAAAAAAAAAAAAAGTGGCTCACTTTTGTGCAAAAGACCTTATAGACATTATAGATGGGAGCACTGAATGGAGAAGAAAATACTCAGAGAACGTGTACTTGCTGGAAGTACTTTATCTTCTCCCGCAAATATACTAAGCTAAAAGCTTGGCCTCTGGCAAGTAACGCCTCAAATTTCTGTATTAAACGTTTCCTGGCGGAGAGCGCTGTGAAAATAAACTCGCTGCTACGTGACGTGAACCGCTGCATCCACCGAAGCAGCCTGCAAGCTCAGCTGCATCGGCCCCACCTGAAGCAGGGACAAGCACCTAAATAGAAAGGAGAACGTGCACCGGTCACCGAGGGCTGACGGAAACGGGGCCAGAACCGGCGGCTGGGGACACGGAGCCAGAGCAGAGAGTGAAGCCCAGTGCGGGGACAGACGGAGATGTGCAGCGAGCAGAGCGCCCGGAGGGATCCAGTTTGGCAGGGAACACGTTTCACCGCCCCACGAAACCACCAGGAACGCACGGAGCGGGCTCCACAGGACAGGGAGGAAAGCCTGGCCGCCACCACCCTCTCGTGGACACGGAGTAAAAGGCAGGGAAAAAAAAAATAAAAAGAAAAAAGTTCTGCGAAGTTCTTTCTCACAGTGCGGATTCAACTCGCTGGCAAAGGGAGATGTTCAGAGGGGTTTAAACCCGCCGATCTCAGCCCGAAAGCCGCACGCGGGGGGAGCCCGGCGGGCCGGTACCTTCGTGCCGCCGCTGGCGCTCGTAGTCGGCGGAGCAGGGCACCTCGACGAAGCGCAGCCGCAGGCGCTCCCCGCGCCGGGCCAGGGCCGCCGCGCCGCCCTCCTCGGCGCCCAGCGAGCTCCAGGCGAGCAGGCCGCCC